ATCATTGCACCAAAATAAAGCTTAGATACCTGGAAATTAACTTAACTAAGGAAGTAAACGACCTGTACTAGGAAAACTACAGGACACTGAAAAAAAAAAAGAGATAAAGGAAGACATAAACAGATGGAAGAACATGCCATGCTCATGGATTGGTAGAACCAACATCATTAAAATGTCCATACTACCCAGAATATCAAGATATTCAATACACTCCTCTTTAAATAATCAACAGCTTATTTCACAGACCTAGAACAAACTCACCAATAATTCATCTGGAATTCAAAAAGATCCTGAATAGCTGCAGCAATCCTGAGAAAGAAGTACAAAGTTAGTGGGTTCTCAATACCAGATGTCAAGCTGTATTACAAAGCCACTATTCTCAAAATTCCCTGGTACTGGCACAAGAACAGACATATAGATCAATGGAATAGAATAGAGAACCCAGAAATTGACCCAGACACTATGCTCAATTAGTATTCAACAAAGGAGGCATGAACATACAATGGAGTCAAGACAGCCTCTTCAATAAATGGTATTGGGGAAATTGGTCAGATACATGCAAAAAAAATGAAACTAGACCACCAACTTACACCATACACAAAAATAAACTCAAAATGGATAAAGGACTTAAACATAAGACGGGAAACCATAAAAATACTAGAGGAATCCACAGGCAGCGAAATCGCAGACATATGCCAAAGCATTTTCTTCACTGATACTGCTCCTAGGGCAATGGACACTAAAGAGAAAATAAAGAAATGGGACTACATCAAAATAAAATCTTTTGCACAGCAAAGGAAACCATCAACAAAATGACAAGAAAGCCCACTACATGGGAGAACATATTTGCAAATGTTATCACTGATGAGGGTTAATTCTCCAACATTTACAGGGAACTCATACAACTTAACAAAAGGAAGATAAACAACCCAATCAAAAAAAATGGGCAATGGACCTAAATAGATACTTACCGAAAGAAGACAGAAGAAGGGCCAAAAGACATATGAAAACATGCTCAAAGTCACTAATCTTCTGAGAGATGCAAATCAAAACGACAATGAGATACCGTCTTACACCTGTCAGAATGGCTATCATCAACAAATCAACAAAGGACAAATGCTGGTGCGGATGTGAAGAAAAAGTAACCCTTGTGCACTTCTGGTGGGAATGCAGACTGGTGCAGCCACTGTGGAGAACAGTATGGAGTTTCCTCAAAAAACTAAAAATGGAACTCCCATCTGACCCAGTGATCCCACTTCTAGGAATATATCCCAAGAAACTAGAAACACCAATTCGAAAGGACATATGCCCCCCTATGTTCATAGCAGCACAATTTACAATAGCTAAGATTTGGAATCAGCCTAAGTGCCCATCAGAAGATGAGTGGATTAAAAAACGTTGGCACATCAATGCAATGGAATACTATGCTGCAGTAAAAATGAAGGAACTCCTACCATTTGCAACAGCATAGATGGAGCTGGAGAGCATTATGCTAAGTGAAATAAGCCAGTCAGAGAAAGATAAATACCACATGATCTCACTCATTTGTGGAATATAATGAACAAGATAAACTGATGAACAATAACAGATCCAGAGACAGAGAAGCATCGATCTGACCGTCAAACCTCAGAGGGAAGGTAGGTGAGGGTGGGGGTAAGGGGGAGAGATCAACCAAAGGACTTACATGCAAGCATATAGGCCTAACCAATGGACACAGACACCAGGGGAGTGAAGGCATGAGTGGGGGGTAAAGGGGTAATGTGGGGATAAGGACTCATATGTAATATCTTAATCAATAAAAAAATTAAATAAAAAAGACACACATATGACGAATTAAAAGAAAAATCTTACCAGTTATTTATTTTTCAAGTACAGTTTACTTTCAATATTATTCTACATTAGTTTCAGATGTTCAGCAAAATGGTTAGAAAATCATGTACTTACAGAGTGGTCCCCCCACTAATCTTAAGCACCCATTTGGTCCTTACATGGTTCTCACAATATTGACTATATTCGCCATGTGTAAAATAATCTACATCTCCATGACCATTCTGCAACTACCAATTTGTAGTGCTTAATCCTTTTACCTTTTTAAAATCAGTCCCCTAACCTTTTCCCCTCTGATAACTGTCTGTCTGTTATTTGTTTCTGAGTCTGTTTCTATTTTATGTGTTTATTTCATTTTGTAGATTCTACATGTAAGTAAAATCATATGTCTTCTGTAAAACAGTTTTAAATAAAGGAGAAAACATGTCAGATTTGGGTGCAAAAATGAATTTTCTTCCAAACTTTTTCACCTTAAGTTTATTGTATTTATGTCTGACTAAAATCACCAGATAGTTCAATTATGTAATCCTGGAAGGTTTACACTGGGATATAAATCTTAGGATCTTAAACCCCAAAGACTTCATATTTTAAACAAATTTTAGCCTGAACAATTAATAATAAGGGAATATTTTTATTGTGTTGAATTTGGTAATTTTTCCCTTCTATTACCTTTCTCACCCTATAATCCTGTAAGGGGTTTTGATATCATTGGGCAATGAGAATAATAATGGATCAAAATTTATCTTGTATTATGTTAAGCATTTAGTATAAATGGAATCACAAAACTATAAAAGTAAAATGCAAATGTTGTTTAAAAATATAAACAAGTGTCAGCTTGCCGGGCCCGGCTGCTGGGTGCAGGGATGTGTGACCTGAACATTGCCGCTATTCTATGCCCTCAAAACTCATTTGGTGAGTGGTGGAGTGAGATGATATGTATTCTTAGAAATAGAAACTATAAGTATGTACTCTAATCTCTTCATTGTTATTTGACACCAGGTAAACACAATCAGTTTTCTCCTTATTGCTATTTTAAAATACTTTAGTCACACCAACCAATCCCATTGTTTCAGCTATTAATATTATAACTGCTGATCCCCAAATCTATCAATCAACATCTCTTTCTAGAATATGGCAAGATTTATGTCTTTTAAAGCTATGACAAAGACTGTCATGAGAATGTTGGAGTCTTACTTTCCTACTCAGAATCTTCTTTCTTTTCATGGGGAGATGTGACAGTACAAGAGCAGTTTGCTGCAAAATTATGGCAAAGATGAAATTCCCATAACTCTTAAATATGCATAACATGATATCCATTAAAGAAAATTGTGGGGAAGCACGGGACTTGCTTGGAAATCTCTGAAAGGTCAGGGGATACTGGAGGACCTTGCTGAAGGTGACAGACCCTGCCTTGACTTTTCCAAGCAAATCTGAGCCCCCAGGTGTTTTACTGGAATCTTTATACTTAGTCTTTAGACGTCCTTCCTTAAAGGACACTGCAGATGCATGTGTCTTCTCAAGAATACTTACCTTGCTGATAGTATCTAGAAGTTAATTTTAGTTCAAGCTGTTGCTACAATAAAAGCCTAAGGAGGCAGGTGAATGAGGCTGTTTGGTTTTTCAAGCTAAGCAGTCCCTTAGCCCTCTCATGTGTCAGAGTAATCATTCATCCATGCTCAGGGTCTGCCAGTCAGCCCCAGCAGAAAATTTGATCTACACACACACACACACACACACACACACGCACGCACACACACACAATGTAATATTATTCAGTCATAAAAAAAAATGATCTATTTGCAACAACATGGAGGAACCTTCTTGAGGGATTTATACTTGGTGAAATAAGTCAGCAAGAAAGACAAATAGTGTATGATTCATTTACATGTGGAATCTAAAAAAATAAACAAGGTTGTAGATATTATGAACAGATTAGTATTTGGGGGAATGGGTGAAGAAGTTCAAAGGGTACAAACTTTCAGTTATAAAATAAGTCATGGGATGGATGTAATGTAAAGAAAATAATCTCACATAATATTCTAAAGATTAACTAGATCACCTCATTATTTTAATGCCTATCTGTATCCAATATTTCTTAAAAAGAGCATTGCATGCATTGTGATAGGGATGCTTATTTTTTAAACACAGATGCTGAGATTTGTAATAATATTTAGAGGAAACACATCTTCTTCCCTCACTATACAAGAACTTCTGACAGATCCTAGAGGGTTGGCAGGTACCTTTCCTATTAATCCCAACATCTCTTGCTTTTAGCCTCAGTGCTTGGAACATGGAAAGAATTAAAAATGTGTTGTTAAACTGAATAAATGTGGCTAATGATCTGCAACCAGTGCCCTGGTTTAAATCTTCCCAGCTAGACTTCAAGTTGCTGAGCGCAGAATCTTGTCTTTCTCACCTACTTACTCACTTACCTGTGCAAATTAAATTGACATCAGTATTACAAAGTGTGAAGGAAAACAATATGAAAAATTTAAATGATATAACAGGATTAGGTTGCTGGAAAGGCAAAAGGACACCAATACCAGTGATTTTCAACTGTTTTCATCTCATGGCCCACATAAACCACTAAAGTTCTGTGGCACACCAAAAAATATATATTTTTTGCCAATTGGATTTTTTTAAAAGTATATTTTTGACTCATTTACATCAAAAGGCTACTGTTGTGTTGGCCTTGACAACCTAAGGGAAAAGAGGTCAGTGCCCCTAAGTAGCCAGGTATTTATTACATGGTGTAAAATTCTTACAGTACACCATCACGGGCACGGGTATCACTGCTAATACTACAGTCCGGTGAGAATCTACTTGTACTTTTCAGCCCCAGGGCACCTGCGCTACTTCGAGAGCCCCGACCCCTGCCGGCCAGCTCACCGCCCAGAGCATACACAGACTTCCCCCGAAAGGCCTGCTGGGACCAAAAGTCCTACTCACCTTGGTGATGCCTGACAGAAATATGGCAGCAAATAAAAGCATTTGTAAAAATATTAATTTCATAAAATACACACGTTCTTTTCAGATATGTAAATGCTAAATCAGTAGGTATTTGTAATTAGGAGTCTCTGCCTAGATGAGCATCCGATGCCGATTTTTCAGGCAGTGCTTTGGACAACAGCAACTTTGGAGGTCCCCAGCGTGCCAGGGACCTAAGTGTGGAGGAGCCCTTCGGGACCGGGGCGGAAGTGGGACTGCTAAAGGAAGTTGGCGTCTTAGTCCATGCCCGCTTCACCATTTAAGTGTTTACCCGCAACCTCCCCAATCCTGATGCCACTGCCCGACCTTAACTCTCTTCCGCTCTTTCTCAGGTCCAAGGTTTCCTTTAAGATCACGCTGACGTCGGACCCGCGGCTGCCGTACAAAGTGTGAGTAGCTCCCCTGCGGTGGCTGAGTAGATCCGGGCTGGATGGAGCCCAGCATCCCACACAACTCCCACCCCAGCAGCTCACATCAGTTCCTTTCCCTCCCTGCGCCCCTACTCGCGCCCTTCCGGGAGCCTCCCCTTCCCACCTGTAACTGAGACTTGGCATCCCGGACTGCTCCTCTTAAGTGTCAACCTGCCCTAGCTCCAGGGGAGGGGCAACTTGCTGCTCGGAACTCATTTGGTGGTGGTGGCTGGGAAGGACTTTGTGGACAGGGCTCTGGTGATTACTGGAATCCTTAAACAGTCCCTGTCTGCTCGTGATTAGAAAGGCCTTTCACGGTTTTGACCACCTTAGAGGAAGTAAGAGAAGACATCTCAATCCAGATTTCGAAATTACTTGAATGTTTACTCCTTTCAGGCTTCTGATTCTTTTTGTGTATAAGGGACACACGACTTGGGCACCACAAAGTACTGAGCCTTAAATCATATCCTAATGATGTTTAGGTTTAAAAAAGAGTGATTAGTAGAAGTGGGAAATGCAGAAATAGGGCAATTTATTCATGCAGGGCCTTTGCTTATCCTTTAGCAGTTAGCATGGGTCTAATATGGACCTTCTAACCCGATACTTCAGACCTTTATATGATTGCAGGTAAGAATTATTGCGGTCATTGCAGTTGGAAGCTGTATAAAATGTAGCAAAGAACAGGTCTTCAATAGGATTTTATATATACTAAAGGCCCGGTAACAAAAATTTGTGCACTGGCTCGGGGGGGGGGGGGGCGGGAAGGGGTGTCCTTCAGCCCCACTTGTGCCCTCTCACAGTCTGGGACCCCTCGGGAGATAACGACCTGCTGGCTTAGGCCCGCTCCCAGGTAGCAGAGGGCAGGCCCAATCCCTAGGTGCAGCCCCTGGTCGGGCTCAGAGCAGGGCTGATTGGGGAGTTGGGGCGCCGCCCCCTGTCATGCACAGAGCAGGGCCGATCAGAGGGTTGGGGCGCCATCCCCTGTCACGCACAGTGCAGGGCCCATCAGAGGGTTGGGGCGCTGCCCCCTGTCACGCACAGTGCAGGGCCCATCAGGGGGGCTGGAGCTCCATCCCCTGTCACGCACAGAGCAGGGCCGATCAGGGGGTTGGGGCGCCTTCCCCTTTCACGAACAGAGCAGGGCAGATAGGGAGGTTGTGGCCCCACCCCCTGTCACACACAGAGCCGCAGGGCGATCAGAGGGTTTGGGCGCTGCCCCCTGTCACGCTGCTCTAGGGGCCAGGAGGCCTCGCTGCTCCTCTGGACACCGGGGCAGTGAGGCCTCGCTACTCTGCTGATCCCGGTGCTAGGAGGCCTCGCTGCTCTGCTTGACACAGGGGCAGTGAGGCCTTGCTGCTCTGCTGATCCCGGTGCTGGGAGGCCTTGCTGCTCTGCTGATTCCGGTGCTGGGAGGCTCCGCTGATCCCAGTGCCAGGAGGCGTCGCGGCTCTGCTGATCCCAGTGCCGGGAGGCCTCATGGCTCCACTGATCCCGGGGCGTGAGGCCTCGCGGCTTTGCTGATCCCGGGTTCGGGAGGCCTCGCGGCTCCACTGATCCCGGGTTCGGGAGGCCTCGTGGCTCCGCTGATCCCGGTGCTGGGAGGCATATTACCCTTTTACTATATAGGATAGAGGCCTGGTGCACGGGTTAGTGCCAGCTGGTTTGCCCTGAAGGGTGTCCCGGATCAGGGTGGGGGTCCTGCTTGGGTGCCTGGCCAGCCTGGATGAGGGGATGATGGCTGTTTGCAGCTGGTCACACCCCCTTCAGGGTGGGGGTCCCCACTGGGGTGCCTGGCCAGTCTGGGTGAGAGGCTGAGGGCCGTTTTCAGGCTGGCGGGTGACTGAAGCTCCCAACCTCTCCTTTTTTCCTTTTCTTTTTTTATTCTGGGATTTATTTACCTTCTATGGCTGTCACTGGAACTGAGAGCAGTCTGCAGCTCTGAGACCTCGGCTGCTGAAAGCAGGGATCTGGGTTTGTTTGGGTTCTATAATTGAAACTCTGTTGCAACTCCAGCTCTGCCAGCTGGCTGAAAGCATGGGTTTTGTTTAGCTGCTATACTTGCAACATTGTTTCTTAGAGTACAAGCTCAGAGCCCAGAAGCAGCAGGTGGGGAACCTTGGCTTCCTCCATCACTGGAGCAAGCAAGCCTCCTGTTTGCTTCAGCTGCCTGGCTGCCAGCCGCCATCTTGGTTGACAGTTAATTTGCATATCACCCTGATTAGCCAATGGGAAGCATGTTGGAGGTACGGTTAATTACCATGTTTGTCTATTATTAGATAGGACTAGAGGCCCAGTGCATGAATTCATGCATGGGTGGGGTCCCTCAGCCTGGTGGGCAATCTGGCTGGCTAGGGGGAGGGACTGTAGGAGGTTGGCTGTTGGAGCACACTGACCCCCAGGGGGAAGCTCCTGCATTAAGCATCTGCCCCCTGGTGGTCAGTGAACATCATAGCTACTGCAGGTCGTCCTGTCCTAACAGTAGCTTAGGCCAGTGGTTCTCAACCTTCCTAATGCCGTGACCCTTTAATACAGTTCTTCGTATTGTGGTGACCCCCAACCATAAAATTATTTTTGTTGCTACTTCATAACTGTAAATTTGCTACTGTTATGAATCGTAATGTAAATATCTGATATGCAGGATGTATTTTCATTGTTCGCGACCCACAGGTTGAGAACCGCTGGCTTAGGCTTTTATATATATTGATAAATGTTTATTAGTTAAATAATTATTATCGGGGCCTACCTAATTGAACTATTACAGCTGTTATCAGTCTCATTTAGCTCTCTGGGACCCATGTAACCTCCTAGCCTTTCTCTTTCTCAATTGCTTTATCTCCAAATTAATCTCTTTGCCTAATCTCAAGTAATTGCTCTACCTATAAAATGTCATTTTTAAATACTTCTATGGTTAACCACATTGTCTTCCTACTTCTGATTTACTTTAATATTTCTAATTTAAAATGTTTCTTTTCATTCATTGATGAGACTTCTTTTTAAATTTTCCCTCTTCCTTACCCAACTTCTTATCCAGCTTAAAGTCACTGTCTTGCAAACACCCTCAACTCTGATACTCCCCCCCTGCCCCCCAAACTCCAAGCACTTGGTGAAACACCAAGTCTGAACTTTTCTGTATAGACCTGAATGTTCCTGGAAAAAATTACACAATTAGACTGATGAGTTTGACATAAAATTAATAACTATGCTCAGTAGTAGCCAACACTGCTACATTTTCCAAGTTTGTATGTTTTCCTCTTTATTCTCTGAAAGGATTTTTTAAAAAAAAATGTATTTTCACACTCCCTACAATTCCTTTCCTCGTTTCCTTCACGCCATCAGAGGAAAATTCTCTCATTTTTCCATCACATCTATAAAGCTATCACTATATGTATATACCTATAGTTTCTGTCTACAATTCTGTTGGAGTAGAAACCATCAGCATGACTTATGAAAAGCCAGTTGTACCACTTGGGCTCTGCATCTTACCTGTTTCAGTCTTCTCAAGATTAAAGCAGAGAGTCTAAAGGCCCCGCCCCGGAAATGCTTGTTCTAGCTTTCTGTGTGCTTAGTCGCCCAAGCTATTGAGGGTCTAAGTCCGGGCAGCCGAAGAGTGTGGTTAGCAAGATGAACAAAGATGCGCAGATGAGAGCAGCGATTAACCAAAAGTTGATAGAAACTGGAGAAAGAGAACGCCTCGAAGAGTTGCTGAGAGCTAAATTAATTGAATGTGGCTGGAAGGATCAATTGAGGGCACACTGTAAAGAGGTAATTAAAGAAAAAGGACTAGAACATGTTACTGTTGATGACTTGGTGGCTGAAATCACACCAAAAGGCAGAGCCCTGGTACCTGACAGTGTAAAGAAGGAGCTTCTACAAAGAATAAGAACATTCCTTGCTCAGCATGCCAGCCTTTAAGATTGAATTAGATTGTGTTGTTTTGTGGTCTTATTTCTGAAAGTAAAACTTGTCATAAATTAGGAATCGCTTTCCCAAAATAAAATCCTTTTTTGTATGATGGTATACAGTTTTCAGTAATGATGTATACATTATATTGATTTTTTTCCCCCTAAATGTGTTATTTTAATCAATATCTAAAAAAAAAAAAAGGGGGGGGGGAATTTGCCGGGAGCCGGTCCATCCTTGCTGTTTCAAGGGACCTGGCATATATGGCATACTGTTCTTAATATGTTTGCTCACCTTCTTGGCACTATGTGTTTTAACCAACGTTACCTCTCTGAGAAAGGTTGTTTCCCCAGGTAGGGATTTTCCCCTGAAGTTAGGGAGGGAATAAAACCCCTTAACTGAGTGCCAGGCGGGTAATTAATCACTTTAACTACAAACAATCATGCTTAAGCTACATAATCTTTACTCCCTGGAATAGAGATAAGAAACACCGTAACCTTTGGAATAGAGATTGATAGGATTGGAATCAACTGGTATAAATACAGATGTAACAAGACAACAGGAGACAGAACTTAGAAGACAGAACCAAGAGACACAGAACCTAGACACAGAACCTACACAGAACCTAGAGACAGAAGAACTTCGCTGGAGAGAACATGGCAAAAGATCCTGGACAGAAACTGGCCTCAGAACCTAGAGACAGAACCTAGCGAGAGAACATGGCAAAAGATCCTGGACTGAACCTGACTACAGAAATTGGCAAGAGAACCTGACTAGAACCTGGTGACTGAACCTGGCTGGAGAACCTGGAGAACCTGGCTGGAGAACCTAGCAAAAGAACATGGACACAGAACCTGGCTGGAGATCCTAACCAGAACTTCACTGGAGATCCTGACCAGAACTTGGCTAGAGATCCTGGCTAGGCTGCTGATCAACTGAACGCTGTCTCTGTGTCATTCCTTCTTCGCCGACTCCGTCCACACCTTTGGGGACCCCTGGACCTGCTGGGGTTGGACCCCAGCACTCTTCATCTTTGATTTCTCCCTTTATACTGGATTATTCTCATAAATATATAAATAGGCTTTAAAAAAGAAATTCTGAGAAGGATGGAGAGAGAAAGAGGACAGGGCAGGACAGCATCAGTGGCTGGAACATTGTACCAGTTCAATTAATATGGGTGACTGGATGAATTTAATAGGCATACCTATTGTTTAGTGTGTATACTTGTGTTTGTGCATATAAAGTATGAATAATATATGTACCTGTGTATGTAAAAGGTAGTTATCCTGTTTTCTATTCAAAGTAAATAGTAACTAGTATTAGTAAAAGCAACTCTTTAAGATTCGTGTGAAAACATTCTTTAACTTATAAACATACTTTGATAGAGAAACTTCCTTTTGAGTTTCTAACATTACTAATAGTTGAATTCTATGAAGGATGTTTCAGTTCTAAATTTATTCTGGGCAATATCAGAGTTTTCTGTGTTTTTGTTTGTTGATACAGTCACTGTTGGTGTCATTACTAGGTTATGGAAATGTTGAAATCAAACATTCTCCTTTATATAAAGGATGAATTAAAAACAACATTTGCCTCTTTTAGTCTGATTCCAGTCTTTCCAGACTTCCCATCTCTTCTCCCCTCTTACTACCACCATCATTTAACAAAGCATCAGCCACCCTATTCCTAAATTGAAAAGCAAGTCTTTTTAACTCTCCCTGCTTTTTACACATGTTCTTTTCTTTGACGGGAATGCAGTCCACTTCCTGACAAACAATATTCTTTAAAAATAAAAATAAAATTTACCTCTGCAGATTTCTATAATTGTCTAGGGGATTCATCTTGTCCTTCTTTCATTTTCTATAGAAACTTTATTCTTATTCTTTATAACAGCACTTGTTGTGTCATAGTTCTCTTTATATGAAATATACATTTTTTTAAAAACAGATTTGCCATTGATTTATTTTTAAAATTCACTTTAATATACACAACAGTGCGCCCACTCTCCCCCTTTTTTCAAAACACCAGTATAATGTGTAACTGCCATTTTACAAAATGATGCTACTGGCAAACACAAATTCAAATCTAGATAAAGTCTATGGCATCACAGTAACTCTGAGTTCCTCTGTAATTTTCTGCCACATTGAACATACATTAAAAAAGTTTTTTTTTTCTGTTTTATTGCATTGTCTTTGCATAATCCCAACTGTACAAGTGGAAGTTTATTTTAATGAATATCAATATGAAATCTAGTTACAAAGATGTTGCCAGTCTCCATTTAAAAAGGGAATCGAAACCCTAAGATTTAGAGCTTGTCGTTTTGAGGATGAATCTCAGGACCTAAACTATGAATGTAATGCAAAAATGCTTGCAGTTCTGTTCCTTACTTTGTAAACTATCATATTGCCAACTTACTAAATAATTTTTAAACAATGCCTACCGTTTAGTGTGAGGCCACGGCCTGCGTGGCCTGGGTTCAAAGGCCTGGAGAAAGAGCTGATGTGCAAATTAACATACAAGATGTTAACGTAAAAGAATTTTTGTGAGTTTATTTGAGCCAAACTGTCGACATATGCCGGGAAGCAGAACCTCAATGAATTGAGATAATGCTCCAGAGAATGGCAGGGTTACATCCGTATTTATACATGAAATTCATTGGTGACAGATTTAAGGAGGTGGGGTTAAGCGAAGCGGGGGAGGGGGGGCGGGGGACCTCTGTGATAGGATAAAAAGTAAAATGATGGACACGTACTTGGGGGGGGGGGGGGAGTGCAGGAACAATTAACATGATGATGAAGGAATTTGTGATATCTGTGTCCTGGACCCAGCACACCTGGCTATGCCCCAGGGGCTTCATAAAAAGGGAAGTCACAAGTTACCCAGACATCCCAAGGACATGTTACCTTAGATGCAAAAAGACAGATAGGCTCAGTTACGGTAAAGGTTGACCTTATCAGTGAAGATATCGGCTTAGGATGTAACTGCCCACCATAACTGCTTTTAGTTAAGGTTTAATTTTAGACCATCCTTTGTGGTTACTTTAGGTCTGCAAAACTGCCATGCAGGCCTCCCTGAGCTTGTCAGGTCAGCATGTGGCCCCTTTTGTCCACACAGACAAGAGATATAAATTTGGAAATTATGGGGGAAGCCAGATATGAACTTAGTTCAAGTGACTAAGCTCCACTGAATCTCTGCATTCATCTTCTTTTTATTTACTAGAATAAAAAATTGCCTTTTAGGAATGCAAACAGACATATCAAAGGTAATGTTTAGTAAACAGTGAAAGATTATCAGGTTGGGGGGGTTGCCTTCATCATTGAATCAATAGCAGGTAATAACAATGCACATATTCAGCCTTCTGAATATCAAAGCCCTATTCAGCCTTCTGACCTGACTTCTTGCATTTGTATTAATTACTGTTGATCTTGGATTTCAGCACTTCAGAATTTTTTTTTCTTTCCTTCTTCCCCCCACCCCCTACCCCAGAAAAGTAAAGAAAGGTAAAAACAATGATAACTATTTTCACTTTTTAGTTCAATGGTTCTCAACCTTCTGGTCCTTTAAATACAGTTCCTCATGTTGTGACCCAACCACAAAATTATTTTTGTTGCTACTTCATAACTGTAATGTTGCTACTGTTATGAATTGTAATGTAAATATCTGATATGCAGGATAGTCTTAGGCGACCCCTGTGAAAGGGTCTTTCGACCACCAAAGGGGTCTCAACCCACAGGTTGAGAACCGCTGTTTGAGTTGGATTTTAGAGGAGTTGGGGCAGCCAAACTCTATTCACACATACTGAAGTCATAATGCACTGTGTCAGATATAATAATTTTTCTATTCAATTTGTACACTAAGAAATGGGATTTATATGTGAAAATGTTACATAATGGAAGTTGGTATTAAAACATTAAAGAATAACACAGTGGTTACAAATAGAGAAGTTTCAAAGCCAAATGTTAGCTTGTAAGTCTCTTTTTCCTGCTGTGAAAAAGAATCTGTTTTTCTGTCTTTAATGATTGTAACTCACTTTACCTTAAGAATATTATATTTGTTATATTATTTTGTTACCTTCTCTGCCTTTGTTTCTTAAGGATATAATGTCAGGGTTTTTTTAAGTATTTAAATTGGAAAATTCATAGATTGACCATTTATCAGCAATCTGTAATACACTTGACATTGTATAAGTCAGTAACAAAATCATGCATCACTCTCCAAATGTTATTTCAATTTTTATTAAGCCCTTGATCTGAGGAGGTATAAGAGTTTTGTGGGAAATGACTTTACATTTTGCCATACTAAACATACTCATTTTCATCAACTTGGTTTACTCTTTTTTTGATTATTAAAAGTGCACAGAAAGGATTATGAAAACATTTATGATCTGGTGATGCTTCCACAGGTAGCCTTTTCTTGTAATGAAAATGACCTTCCTGCATTGAGTAAAAAGTTGTGTGGACTGAATAGTAAGGAGAGATTCAACTTTTTGAAATCCATCTCTGGAAACAAGCAGCATCCCATATCCTAGACCTATTTGTATCGAAGTATTAAAAATGTATAAATCTTCTCCTATATAGGTTGTTGATAAGACCTATTTGTATCAAAGTATTAAAAATATATAAATCTGCTCCTATATAGGTTATTTTATTTTTTAAATATATTTTTACTGATTTCAGAGAGGAAGTGAGAGGGAGAGAGGGATAGAAACATCAATGATGAGAGAGAATATTTGATCGGTTACCTCCTGCATGCCCCCTACTGGGGATCGAGCCTGCCTAGGCATGTGTCCTTGACCGGAATCAAACCTGGGACCCTTCAGTCGCAGGCCGACACTTTATCCACTGAGCCACACTGGCTAGGGCTCTATACAGTGGGGCCTTGACTTATGAGTGTCCCGACTAACGAGTTTTTCGAGATACGAGCTGTTTCTCAGCCGATTTTTTGAGTTGCGAGCTAAAATTCGGGTTACGAGCCAGCTTCAGATACCCCACCGCTAGTTGACGCAGCGAACGTCACAGTGAACGCCACAACATCAGCCCAGCATCACGTGTCATTGTAATGGTGAAAATTGATTTGACATACGAGTAATTTGAGTTATGAGCTCCATCACGGAACAAATTAAACTTGTAAGTCAAGGCCCCACTGTATAGGTTATTGATAAGACCTATTTGTATCAAAGTATTAAGAATATATAAATCTGCTCCTATATAGGTGTTGATATTCAAGTAGAGCTATGGCAGAATCTAATTTAAGCCTAATTGTTTGTTTTGTTTGTTGTTGTTTAGAGTTCGTAATGTAGTATGCAATAAAAATACACAATCTTTAAACTCAAAAGAGAAATTTATTTAGGCCTGCTAAAATTGCTGATATGAGGAACAAAGAGCTTTAAAAAAACAGCTTTTAAAAGAATTATTTTTAATTTTTCTTTCAGACTCAGTGTTCCTGAAAGTACACCTTTTACAGCAGTATTAAAGTTTGCAGCAGAAGAAGTAAGTATAGAAATTGGAACAACCTGTATAGAATACAGATTGACAGTGTATCTCAAAAATCTTTAAGTTTTGCATGCAATTTGAACACACCACTTCTCTGTGGGTTTATTACTAGGTTAATGCTATCAAAAAGTTAAGCTTTACTAACAGATATAAGTAGAATGAAAGTTAATACTTACTGACAGATATAAGAAGAATGAGTTTAAATTGACATATCCAATGCAGCCATTGAGAAATATAAGGAATTTTTATTGAAATTGAAAATATTCAATTATATGTAAAATTTTTTAAGCACCAACATATCATTCTAGTGTGTATATTCATTTTTGCTACCTTTTATTCTAGAATTATAATTTTTAAAATATCTGTCATATTTTTCAAAATTTTTGTGTATGTGGACTGTCAGTAAAAGTTATTTTTAAAAGTGTCTAGCTTTTTAAAAAATACTTTGGTTTTCTCTTTTGAGAAAAATTTCCATTCAAAATTATCATTAGAGAAATCTATAAAGCAACTCTTTGGACATGCCATGGAGAAGAGTAGCTTGGGTAGAAATGGCACCCAAATGTAACTTGGAGACTTAAGATTTCTATTGTAAATGTGTCATTCACTATCTGTATGACATAGGCAAGCTTCTCAGTTTCTCTCCCTCAAATTTCTTTTTTGTAAAAGGAAGTACGTGAAGTTAAAAGTGCTATACTGGTACAGAGGAACTCAAATCTAAATTTTGGTTCAGAATCTTCAGAAAAAAATTTATAATTATGGAAAATAATTTTAGTTAAGTAAGAGACCAGCTTAACCTATAATCCTTTATTAAAGTGATTAATGGAAAATAAACAACTCATCAGCACTCAGCCCCTCATACTATTGTCAGGGACCACTGACATTATTTCTCACTCATTTAGAATTAAACTGAAAAATGGTAGTACATGTTTTATAGCCAGATTTGATCTATTCTTCATGTAGAAAGAATAAGTTAAAAGAAATGGGAAATAAATCTGAATATAGCATCATCATTATTTTTTGCTATACAGGTCACTTGTAAGAAATATACCTGGCCTGGGACATAGCAGATTCCACAGATTCTAATTTAAGAAGTAGATCTGTATTTATAATTTACAGTAATTTATTTTACTATAAATTTGCAATATTTATTTATTATAACAATAATATTTAATTATTTTATTATTACTTACAGAATGTAATTATTTATAAAAATGACATTTATTTTTCTATTTTATAGTTGTTTTATAATGTGTTTTTTATAAGGCAAAGACATTGATGTCATCCTGGTCGTTTAGTGTGAGGATAAGAACATCTTAACAAACATGCAGTGGAAAATTAATAACTTCACCCAATCACATGTATTGGTTAAAGTTTTAATATAGCTTATAATTATTGTGAATCACGGGTGTTATACATTTAGAAAAGTACTGACTTTCAGTTAACAGTGAGAAGGCCTTTCGCAAGATGACATTGTAGAATGTTTCAGTAGGAACAAGACTTGACTTGACAAACCAGAGAATGTGGATTTAAATCCCTAGTAAAGTTCTTTTAATAAAAATATAATAAAATTTCCCACTACATGACTGGGTTAATTTAAGTAGTGAGTTGTCAAAGCATGAGAAGAGCTGCTTCACATTGGAAATTTTAAGACTTATGAAATCAGGAAGAAAATAAATGAAAACTGAGAAACATAAAATACACTTTGCACCCAAGAGGAAACTTGTCAGTAATTTGGGACGAAACTAGTAGTTAATATAATTTACTTTACTAGTGATGCTTCCCCAAATTTTAGCTTTCCTGTTGCTTCTACATTCTGGAAAAGGGAAAAGTGGTATCAGGTGTTTGCTTTTGATTTTTATTGTTCATAAAATATGTTGCCACTATATGGATGTGACTAAGAAACCTGTTTTATCTTTAAATGGACATAATCTAAGAATAAGACACACTCAGTAGGGAACGAGAAACTTTGTAATATTCAAGTTTTGGAAATCTGACATATCCTATAATTAATTTGGGTATTTGATCAAAGTTTTATTAAGTAGTACAACCTTTTAGTAATTTTTAAGATATTTTAAATTACGTTTATTTAAAATTCTTAAATCTGTAAAAGGACATTTACAACTAAGAATGTGCCATATAGACAGTAAAATTTGTTGTTAGGTACATAATCCTATAACAATTGTTTTATGCATAATTCCATTCTTAACATGGGATTCTTCCATTTATAAGTTAAAATAAGCTTTCAGTTGTTTTCCTCAATTATGCATATGTGACCATTATAAATACCTAGAACAGTGTTTCCCAGATTATTTTTCCTAGAGAACTAGAACCACCAATAAGAAAAAGAAAACAATTCCATGAAAAACTGGGATCATTGGCCAAAAAGTATGGGAAATACTTCATTCACTATTTTCTTCTTGGAGTTAAAGTATTAGTAGCATACTTGAAAATTTTGAAAATAATATCAATATAACGTCGTGTTTTCAAACTTATTTGGTTACAACAAACTCAACTATAATATCTACAAAACTTGTCCATAGCATAGAAGGGCATACTTGCTGGAAAAATTAATGAATTATGAAGACATGAATATACTTGGATAACTGCTGGTCTTTAGAGCATTGAGAAGAATTCTGACTTTAACTACAACAAGTTTCTTACCACATTTCATTGATTTAGAAAACACATCTTTTACAACATCTCTAAAAATAGATCTGGAGTCTTACTATCACTGTTAGCCATGTGGCAATCACATAATTATCTTGATATCACCTGCAATACTTGAACTTAGTTATTATTTTCTGGTGGTATAATTAGAGTATTGCCATTGTGTGAGATTTAAGTCAGCAATACATGAAAGGAGAATTTGAGGAAGGACTATAAGCCTTGGTTGGCCTCCCATTAAACACAATAGAGCATTTATTTGAACTTACTATTTCTACAAAGAAATTTTAGGAATATTCTAAGCCAGTGGTCAGCAAACTCATTAGTCAACAGAGCCAAATATCAACAGTACAATGATTGAAATTTCTTTTTAGAGCCAAATTTTTTAAACTTAAACTATATAGGTAGGTATATTGTTATTAACTTAATTAGGGTACTCCTAGGCTTAGGAAGAGCCACACTCAAGGGGCCAAAGAGCCGCATGTGGCTTGCGAGCCGCAGTTTGCCGACCATGGTTCTAAGCAATTGTTTTGCTTTTATTTTTGCTTATGAAAGAAAGCAATAATTCTAAGTCCAAAAGAGTACACACTGATTGAGTCATAGATTCATTGATAGTGAATTTTTGTTTTGTTTTGTTTTTGCAGTGAGTAAAATAAGGTGCATGGTATTCTTTAGAATGAAATGTAGTATTTAGAGGGAAATAATGTTTTAAAAAAATACAGCAAATTACATTAGCCCTTTGTTTTATGATGTGACTTATCCTGAAAGAAAAGTCACATTTTAGAATGATCTGTACACCATTCTTGTTAAACTAACCATCTTTTATAGAGTATGTGTGTGTATAGAAATTTTTTTCTTTTTCTCCCCTTTAGTTTAAAGTTTCTGCAGCCACAAGTGCAATTATTACCAATGGTAAGAATTCATTTAAAAATTATTTATTACCTTAGAACTATAGAAATTATTTAAAATAAGTCAAATTAATTAATTTAACTTGAATGCAAAAAACCCAAACTTTATATCAACATGAATGAAATACATAATTGTAAATACTAAATCAAGGTTATTGTCCATAGCTAGCTCTTTTCAGATTCTTTATGCTTTTTGGTATAGGATAGCATTTTGTAATATCTTATTATATCCTGATCACTTCTTGCCAGATTATTACTGAAATAACCTTTATTTACCAGGTGTTTCTTTTTCAAAATAAGCTTTTTGATAAATGCTTATAGAATTTAGGTAGTTAAGTAGGAATGTACCTTTGCTTTCCTGATGAAATCTATTTCTTACATACTTGCAATGATGAGGATTTTATCCAATTAGATATATAATTTAAATTCTGAATATCTTAAAACACTACTAATAATTAAGTTTGATGAACCTAGTTCTATGAGAAAATCTACACTAATAAAAGAGAAACATGGTAATTGGCGTACGACCGCTACCCTTTTCATTGGCTAATCAGCGAGATATGCAAATTAACTGTCAGCCAAGATGGCGGCCAGCAGCCAGGCAGCTTGAAACTGGCCTCAGTGACGGAGGAGGATCGTTGGAGGAAACCAACGTTCCCCGCCTGCGGCTGCAGGCCTCTGAACAAGCAGTTTAAGAAACATTGTAACAAATACCGCCATTGTAAGCAAAGGCCAGAAACCTACTTTCAGCCGCGGAGGCCTAAGAGCTGGAGCCAAGCCTTAAGGTAAAGCTGGCCCAGAATAAAAAGAAAAAAGAAAAAAAGGACCGGTTGGGAACTTCAGTCACTCCCAGCCTGAAAACAGCCCTCAGCCTCTCACCCAGACTGGCCAGGCACCCCAGTGGGGACCCCCACCCTGATCCAGGACACCCTTCAGGGCAAACCAGCCGGCCCCACCCATGCACCAGGCCTCTACCCTATATAGTAAAAAGGTAATATGCCTCCCGGCACCAGGATCAGCGTGACAGGGGGCAGTGCCCAAACCTCCTGATCGCCCTGTGGCTCTGTGTGTGACAGGGGATGGGGCCCCAACCCCCTGAGCAGCCCTTCTCTGTGCCTGATAGGAGGGAGCTCCCCAACCCCCCCTGCCCCCACGGGCCCTGCTCTGTGTGTGATGGGGTAGAGCCATAACCTCCCCATCGGCCCTGCCCTGAGTGTGAGAGTGGCTGTGCCCCAACCCCCTGTTGGGCCCTGCTCTGTGTGTGACGGGGGCAGTGCCCCAACCCCCTGATTTCCCCTGCTCTGTGCGTGACAGGGGGTGGCGCCGCAACCTCCCCATCGACCCTGCCTTGAGTGTGACAGGGGACGGTGCCCCAACCCCCCAATTGGCCCTACCCTGAGCATGACTGAGGGTGGCATCACAACCTCCCAATCTGCCCTGCTCTGTGAATGACGGGGCGGCGCCCCAACTCCCCAATCGGCCCTGCTCTGAGCCCGACCAGGGGCTGCACCTAGGGATTGGGCCTGCCCTCTGCCACCCGGGAGCAGGCCTAAGCCAGCAGGTCGTTATCTCCCAAGGGGTCCCAGACTGCGAGAGGGCACAGGCCGGGCTGAGGGACCCCCCCTCCCCGCCGAGTGCACAAATTTTTGTGCACCAGGCCTCTAGTACTGATATAAGATGAGGAGTAAAGATGGCAGTGAGGGCTTAACTATTTTTCAGGAATACACCATAATATTTCTAGGTGCTAGTGAGTGGTTTTCTGTGCCATTAGGATAGGCTATGAAAATGGGTTTAATAGACAGTAGTGTGATTTAGTTTAGATATGACAAAATTTCTCATTCTAAAATATTCTGTATACTGTCACATTGAAGTGTTTCTCTAATTAGAAGAAAGCTAGCCTACTTTCTACAAAGTTTTAGATTCATAGGTGCTTTATAAACTTTTTTCAAGTGTAAGTGGAATTTGAATTACATGAGTTTATGGGCTCTTCTGGCCTTAAGACTTGTAAGCTTCAGAGCAATAACTAAGTGATTAATGACATACCTGAGGTGTATTTTTCACTTTGTATAGCATAATAGAATTTTTAAAAATTATGTTTGTAGACCTTACCAGGATCATTGCATTGACAGATACTCTTGTTTAATCTATCACTGTGTGTGATGCACAATAGTAATAGATTTCAATAGATAATTTATCCAAAAGATTGTCATTCATGTTTTTGGATTTAAATTGTTTGGCTTGCCCAGCAGGCATGGCTCAGTGGTTGAGCTTCGACCTATGAACCAGGAGGTCATGGTTTGATTCCCTGGTCAGGGCACATGCCCGGGTTGCAGGCTGATCCCTAGTACGGGGCATGCAGGAGGCAGCAGATCAGTGATTCTCTCTCATCATTGATGTTTCTCCCTCTCTCTCTCTCTCTCTCTCTCTTTTTCTCTCTTTCTCTCTTTCTCTCTCTCTTCCTCTCTGCAATCAATAAATATATATATATATATATATATATATATATATATATATATATATATATATTTAAATTATTTGTCTTGTGCCTATATACACAGCAGCAATATTTTGGCCAGTCTCATTACTATTGAACCATTTTAGCTTTAGAAATAATTTAGATGATTTTATAATTTATTTTCTAGATGGAATAGGAATAAATCCTGCACAGACTGCCGGTAAGTATCTATCTGAAATTCATGGAGATGTGGGTGGAGCTATATATGTCAGTTGATTGGACTGGATAGGACTTTACCAGGATTATAGATGTTCTTTTAGGGATTATATGCCAGCCTTCACCTATGGGTCTGAATAATAATTTGTTTCATTATGTGTATTAGTTATTATGCTTTTGACTAAGGGAAACCCTGACTAATAAGCGTTAAAGATATTAACACTCATAACAAAAATTCTAAAGATAAGATTGTACTCTTACTGGAATAATGGTTTTGACCTACCTCATAAGGTAGTTGTGAGGTAATATATGTAAACTGCTTAAAAGATTGCCTTATCCATAGTGAGCATTCCACAAGTGCTATTATTTCAAAGAGGTACAGTCATTTAAATTTCAGAGGGCTTAGTCCACACTCAGAGGTTCAAATATAACATTATACAGTGCTATATATTGGTGTCCTAACAAGAAAGCAGGGTCATCTTTTTTTTTTTTAATTGATTTCAGAGAGAAAGGGAGAGGGAGAGAGAAACATCAATGACGAGAGAATCATTGATCAGCTGCCTCCTGCACGCCCCCAACCAGGGATCGAGTACACAACCCAGGCATGTGCCCTTAACCGGAATCGAACCTAGGACCCCTTAGTCCACACATCGATGCTCTATCCTCTGAGCCAAACTGGCTAGGGCAAGCAGGGTCATCTTCACCTTTTTAACAGGCAGTTTTATATATTTTTTAAATGTACCTTTTTTAAAGTTAAGCATGCATTAATATAATGAACCTCAATCTTGAGTAGTATTTATGTTTAAATTATATTCTAAAGTACTTCTGTCTTATAACAAAATTACATTGTTCTCGTAGATCTTGGGATTGAAATTTGGCCATATAGAAAATGAAGAGAGATTTAAAATTGTAATTTTTTAAAATTTAAATCAGTTGTTTTAGGTATATTATAAATTTTATTAAATTGAAAAGGTTATTAATTGAAAATCATGAGGCATTTTATAGCATAAATGCCTTTAAATTTAGGTTTAAAGGTTTTGTTTTCTTATTCTAGAAATGTTCAATTTACATTAATTTGAATTATTGCTTATTGTAATATGTTACCAGTTGTATTCCCTTAAAAGTTGAAAGGTGTACTTTATGGGACACAAAGTAAATCTCATCATTTAATTGAACCAAAATAGGTCAGGGTTTCCAAACTTTTTTCACTTTTGGTAATTTAGATTCATTATTTTTGCTGTCTTTAGGTATTTTATTGTGTACTAAAGCAAGTATTGATGGTTAAACTGATTTACATTATGATTTGCTGATTTGCATATGAGTGTATTAGTTAGCATTTTTATGGCTAATGTTCATATTTAAAATTTTCAGACATATGATTAGGTTGTAAAGATGTAAGTGGAATAGCAACAAGGCTTTAAAAGCATGGAATTAGTTTCTGATAATGTTTGTGTTTTTGTACCTACTTACTTTACAGTGCTTTATTGTTGTTTTTTTACAATGCTTTGTTTATTGTATATAATAATTGTTGGAATGTTATGATAACCTGTTTTTTAAACACCTAACTTTATGTTTTGTTTGTTTGTGTAGGAAATATTTTCCTAAAGCATGGTTCAGAACTGCGAATTATTCCTAGAGATCGTGTTGGAAGTTGTTAATATCCTCTACTTAAAGATAGAATTACCTTTCAAAATAAATATTGGGTATTGCTGTTGTAAAACTGAAATCAGGCATTTAAAATACTATGAAAACACCAATAATTGATGAAATAATGAAAGGTTACTTCCTGTCCCTTCTTGTTGTTCTCACTCTTCATGTGAAGAGAGAATGCTTATGCATTGAGGGTATCATTTTTACAGAAGATCCTAGTCTTTCATTGCTATCTCACAGCACACACCGCTGGTTCATTTGGGGTAAATGGATTACCCAACTGTGTTTTATTACTGGAGGATAATTCTGAGAACATTTGGAAGATTAAATTTGTTGAATCTTTTTATTTGTCTTTCAGGTAAAATTTTAAAAGGCTTATGGATTATACAGGGCAGGTTACTTGAAGGATCTGATTTGCAGACTCAAAAATAGTTGAGGGGAGAAGGAGAAGTGGGGAGGGAAGCAGAGGGGGGAGGGAAAAAATAGTTGAATTCTTAATTCTCAATTATACTGTTTATGATAAAGGATATAGACATATCAATGAATACTTAAATGTCTTAACTTTTTACATTTAGGTATTTTTTTTTTAAGTTTCAAGCTTCATGTGTTTATATAAATTTTAATTTAATATCAGAGAACCAAAATTCCAAAATTTGAATTTTTTGACCTAGCCCCTATGTGTAAAATTGATAGCCCTCACCAAAGAGTTTTAACTATGATCCTGCAGAATCCAATTCTTGTAATGGTAAGAATTGAAAATAAAGTAGAAGCATCCTTTGCTGAGTAATGCATTCTTTTATCAGTCTCTTTTAATACAGACTTTAAAACAGGAATTTTCAAGAAACGTCTTTCTATGGATATTTGGAAACCACATTCAGGAAGAGACTGTTGTAAGGAAGATCTGAAGATCACAACAAAGGTCAAGAAAATGCTAATGGAAAATAATAATTAATTATACTCACTGAAGGCCCAAGTTTTAAGGAAGTGTTAAGATAAATCAAGTGAATAAGAAGCCAAGAAAGGGAAGATGGGGAAGCCCAGGTAACAAAAGACAACAGTGAAAGGGAACAGAAAGCTGTCACAAAAGACAGCTGGATAGGCAAAAGTGCAGAGGCTGTGTTGTGTTGTGTTGAGAGAACAGAAAGGGATACTAGACATTGTCATAAGTAGCAGAAGGCAATTGGAAAAAGCAAATTATAGGCCTTTTCAACATACAGATTTGATAATTCCCTTTATGAGAATCTAAAGAATGATATGCATAAGGAATGTTTTTATTTGCCCTTACAGAGGAAACCAATATCCACATCTTTAAAATGAAATGAAGGCTATTAGTGATTCAGAACCAGTGCTCAATTTGCTGTATTTTAGATGGTGAGCTCTCTGGAGCAGGCCTTGTGTTTGTCTTGCTCTTTCTAGACCTGGAAATGTAGTAGGCTTTCAATAAATACTTGCTGAATTATTCATAAATAAAATATATCTAAGACCAGTTTTTATGTAAGCATATTTCAGCATCTTCCCTATCATGTTCCCTTGTTTCATTGGGAGAAAAACATTAGGAAATGTAACAGCATCAGCATCTGAAGGGTGACATTGGTAGTTAAGTTTAAGAAATTAACCAGATACTGTTCATATATCTGATAAATGAACAGTGGGATTCTGGTTTATAAAAGGGAAAAAATATTTTCTGAAGCAGAGAAGTATACTTCTGATGTTTGAGAAAGTATTCATTTTCATAAATAAAATTCAATGCTTAAATATCCCCTGCTCCTTAATATTAAGCCTCAATTAACCAGAAATTTGAGTATCCATTCCCTGAATTTCTTGTTTAATTTAGATCCCATCTTTTGTTTCTAGCACAAAGTCTGCCTGCTGTATTACATAAATAAGTTTATAATATCGTCTACTATAATTTGTTTAATATTTTTGTTTTTGAGTTTTGAAAAATTTATTGTAAGTTCTTAAAAACATTTACTTAGACATTTTGTTATTAAATAAATATAATCAGTAAGTTCTTTGTGCAGCATGTTTTGAAGTATTTTGTTTAAATGCATTATTGGCACATAATATTTCATGAAAACACAATTTGTTATACCATAAGGCATATTTTACTTTTTTATTAGCACAAATTTTTTAATGTATTTTTATTGATTTCAGAGAGGAAGGAAAAGGGAGAGAGAGAGCGAAACATCAATGATGAAAGAGAATCATCTATTGGCTGCATCCTGTACACCTCCTACTAGGCATCGAGGCCACAATCCAGAAATGGAAGCATGGACCTCCTGGTTCATAGGTTGACACTCAACCACTAAACCACACTGGCTAGGCTAAAGCTTTTAATTAGCACACTTATTAAGCCAGTACATGAGAAATGAAGAAAAACAATAGACAAAGTGATTAATGACCATAGGTCATAGAATGAGCATATATTTCCAAATACCAGTCCTATGTTTGGGAGGGGCAAGGGGAGAGGTTATAGTGATTGTTTAGGCTAGTTGGTCCCAAGCCTGGGTGATTATGAGAGGCACTTAGGGAATTAAAAATACAGATTTATGGAAACCACCCCTAAAGTTCTGATTCATTAAATCTGAAATAATATACTTTTCTGTTTACATCCTGGTGAATTCTTCTGTGTAGCTGGGTAAACTTTTTTACTTTATAGGTGAACAAAATGAAGTCTAAGGAGTCAAAATAACTAGAATATGTTGTAGAATCTTGGAAAGTATACATTCCAATTTTTGTTTGTCTAGTAGGTAAGTGCGAAGATGCTACTTAACAGTCTGTTTCACTGATAGTTAAGCCTCCTTTTAAAGTGCTTCAAGGCTAATACTTATTGGATATTTTGTTTCTAAAAATTTGTTTTTTGAAAGAAAAGTCAATGGAAGAAACATTCCTGTTTAAGCCTCCCTCTCCCCAAATTAAGATTGAAAATATGTCTTTTACTTAAGAACCTTGAAATATTTGTGACTTGGCAGCATTAATATACTTTAATGGAGCAATTCTAAGTTAAATAATTTAATGTTCCCAAATCTATAAAACTGAAAATTATATACATAAATTATATATGTACTAGAGGCCCAGTGCATGACATTTGTGCACTGAGGGGTGGGGTGGGGGGCATCCCCTCAGCCTGGCTTGCACCCTTTAGCAGTCCGGGAGCCCTCAGGGGATGTCCAACTGACGGTTTGAGTGTGCCTAAGCCGTCAGTCGGACACCTTTAGCTCTGCCACAAAGGCAGTAGTGGCTCCCCCCACCGCTGCTGCGCTTGCCATTCGTCAGCCCAGCTTGTGGCTGGGTGGTTCCCCCCCACCCCCACCCCGTGGGAGCACACTGACCACCAGGGAGCAGATCCTGCATTGAGTATCTGCCCCCTGGTGGTCAGTGCATGTCATAGCAAGGGGTTGTTCCACTATTCGGTCGATTTGCATATTACCCTTTTATTATATAGGATGTATTTGAGCATGTATATGTAGTTTATGTATGTATATAATTTATGTATATAATTCATATATGTATGAAGTTTTGTTTAGATATGAATTGTATATGTAATTCATTTAAAATAAATGTATTGAACATCTATGTGTCCAGTATTTTGATACTTTCACTTATTCTTCACAGTAATTCCACATTTTTATCCCTATTTTACAGAAGGAAAAAAAGGCTTTAAGAGATTGAGATTTGAAATCTGATCCTTTGAAGTCTTCATACTGGGAGACATTTTCAGTATCATTTTTTACAACATACTAGCTCTGTATTGGATAATACATTTAAAAATATAAAAGAAATGTATAAGGCTTAAATTCACATTTCAGAGTACTGAATATATGTGCAATGATCATGAATAGTATTACTTAATACAAGGTATAAATATGATAAAATTATAAGGAATTAAATAAAATCCAGTCAAATGAAGATAATTATGATTCTGGCCTTACTCCATAGGGCAGAGGCTCTCAACCTGTGGGTCACGACCCCTTTGGGGGTCAAATGACCCTTTTACAGGGGTCACCTAAGACCATCGGAAAACACATATAATTACATATTTTTGTGATTAATCACTATGCTTTAATTATGTTCAATTTGTAACAATGAAAATACATCCTGCATATCAGATATTTACATTATGATTCATAACAGTAGCAAAATTACAGTTATGAAGTAGCAGCGAAAATAATTTTATGGTTGGGGATCACCACAACATGAGAAACTGTATTAAAGGGTCATGGCATTAGGAAGGTTGAGAATCACTGACATAGGGTGACATAATGGGAATAGGACTATTAGCCTATATTTATCAGCCCCATCAGACAATTTGATTTTTGATCATGTATCTTGCTGATGTAACTACAAATATTAGTCCCCCAGTAACCTGTTTTTCCAACCATACTACCCATGAGCCCCTGTTATACAGAAATTCTAGAACTGCTCTCTGAGAGTTAATGCTGGAGATTGATAAATTATTTAAACCAGGCTATTTAATTAAACCATTAATTGAAATAAACATTTTCAAAAGGCTCAGTCTGTTATCTTCATCTTCCAAATTGCCTAAGCCAGATATTTGGAACTCATTTCTTTCCTTGCTCTAACCATAGCAAATGAATCACAAAATTATATTGATTTATTTTACAAAAATATATCTCAGCCATCTCAACTGTAATTTAAACCCTCATCTTCTGGTATATTTCTTCTTTTGCACTGTTATAATGAGCATGGAATATGTAGTTTAACTGGTTAACATTCTACTGGATAAAAGTCTATCCTTTTCATGACATGAGGGCCTTCATGAACTGGTCTTTGTACAGAGTCATTTGTTATCACTATCAAATTTTCCTTTCCAATTCATATGCAGCTACCCTGACCAAGAAATAGTTTCTCAATGTGCCATGTTCTTACGCCTTCATAACTTTACTTTCTCCACTTACCTGCCTGGGAACCTAACACTCATTCTTCAAGTTGAAAAGCCATTGGGCCTTTCCTCCTTTCAAGAAGTTGGGTATTCAGCTGTCTAAGCAACAGTTGCATTTTGTACATTCCTTCATTATAGCAATTGTTAAATACAGAATCATAATGTTTATCTCTGATTTAAACTATACATTTTATAAAAGCATTAAGATCATGACTGAAGCTATTTCCAAACTGTTTTGCCCAAAGTAGATAGTAAGTACTTTATAACTAAAAGACTACATAAAAGAATGAAAGATTTAAAAATCGCAACTACATGTGACTCAAATGTAATAACTTCTTTAGCCATAATATTTGATTATCCAATATATTCATATTTCTCATCATTTCTTATAGCAGGGGATTTAATCTGTCTGTCTCAGAAATGTATTAATCACTTTAAAATTCAAAACATCTTATATTTTTTAACAAATATATGAATTATTAGCTATACTGTAGATTGCTAAATACTGGACATGAATTATGAATAAAATCCCTTTTCCTGGGCTCCCTAAACTGTATACATATCAAAACAGCAAAATCTACCAAAGTAATAATTATATAGAAGTGAAGATTTACAGCACACCGTTTTTTAATGTGCTTGGTACAGTACTAGGTACTTGACATACATTATTTAATTCTTTATCCATAAAATGTTGGTACTAACTTTTTGCTGTTAAGGAAGCCAAGATTTAGGTTAATGTATCCAAAGTTATGAGATTTGCTCCTGGGTATATATGATTACAAAGTCCACCCTGTAAATCAATACATGTTTCCCATCATTTTCATAGAATGATATTGAAAGGTCCTCAAACTTATTGAACATTTTTATGATCTCACTTTGCTTGAGAAATTTAACATTCAATAATCTCCATAAACACACATATAGACTCTTAGTAAATACACACACATTTATAGCAACAAATAATTGCAAACAGTTGAAAAGTAGGTTTATGTCTCTATTATCTGCTTTAGAGGATGTGATTTTATCATACAGAACACTGGCCGAGGTTGACAGACAGCTGCAGAGAGCTAGTTTTGGTCATAAATCTCTGATTTTCTGGCAAAAATTGTTAGCAATATAAAAGTTGTTATTGAGAGCATATTGTGATACATTATGTCAATATTTATTTGACTGAGGAACACTGCATTTAATAAATTCTTAAGTGCACAATTTACAACTGATGAGCTGTTTTAGAAATAAACTATGTGATATTTGTCATCAGTGCCACAAGCATTTTGATGTCTTAAATGGAGATGCTAGCTTCTCTTATTTTCTAGATAAACATATGAATGGAACTGGGCTTTTAAAATTCTCCTTAAATATGTAAATTAAGTAGTAATGAAATGTAAGAGACAATTGAATAAATGAGTGAGTCACAGGGGTCTTAATCCTTTGTGACTTATGTGATAAATTTGTATAATCTGCTGGACTGTTTTATACAACATTGTCAGTTTGGCTGACCTAGTATTACAAAATGCCTAAAAATAAATTTGTTGAACTATTAAATCATTTTTTGTTTTATTTTCTTGGTATGTGAAAGGGATACATGTGGCACTTTGAGCCTTAAACCTAAAGTCTTATAAAGAAATAATCACTATTAACATCTTTCTTACTAAAAAAGCACAAAAAAACCCAACAACAACACACAGACATGGATACCTAATATAGAGTTTTTACTATGTATCAGGCACTTCATGAGGTCAATAATATTTTTTTAATCCTCACCCAAGGACATATTCATCGATTGTTAGAGAGAGGAGAAGGGGTGAAGAGAGAGAGAGAGAGAGAAAGAGAGAGGAGAGAGAGAGAGAGAGAGAGAGAGAGAGAGAGAGAGAGAGAGAGAGAGAGAGAAACATCGATTGGTTGCCTCCCATAGCCACCCCAACCCACCCTGGTCAGTATGTGTGCTGACCAGGAATCAAACCCATGACCTTTCTGTGTATGGGCAATGCTCCAACCAACTGAGCCACACTGGCTAGAGCTCAATAATGTGTTTTCATCATACTTTAAATTAAGAATTTGGACCTTTCAAAGAGATTTGCTAATTTTTCCAAGGTTACACAACTATTATGCAGCAAAGGTATAAATCGAACCTTACCGATGAAGCCCCAGGACACACAGCCTCTCTAAATGGGGCACTGGTAAATGGGTCTAGTTCAAAACTCAAAAAGCTGATAATTACCACATTGCTACCTTTTCTGCCCCCCTCTCTCTCTACGTCCTACTTATTTATCCTGACCTACTCTCTAACTCTTCTATACTAGTATATCATAAAGCCTTTGAGAAGGAGTAGGGGATGACATGAATAGAAGCCTCTATAGTTACCTCCATATTTCTTCATATTTTTCTATTTAAAATTCTTTCATTCCTTTATTCAGACATGTATTTATCAAGGTTACAAAGATGAATTAGACCTGTTCTCTGCCCTTCTGTTAAAAGGCATGAGGCTTGGGCAGCAGTTTCTAATTATTTCAACTATTTTTCATAGGTCTCATTGGCTGTTCTCATCTCTTGTTTAAGGCCTGACAAACCCTCCTTATTGCTTTCTACTCAAAAAACTTTAACCAACATTGGATAATTTGAATGATCCCTAGTAAAGAGCAGAGGATGCCTGCCTGAGGCCAAGGTGAATGAATCTGGAGATAGAGTGAGAAACTGTAAGTAAAACAAACAAACAAAAAAAGTCAAGGCCAGGCAGTAAGTTAGTGACCAAAAGAGAGGGACAAAATAAGTAGAGCTTGGAATTCAGGCATGAAGATGGAACTAAAAATTCTAAACTGGAAGACTGGTCAGGAATCAGAAATACATGGGTAATAGAAAGATTAAGTATGGTAAATATTAGGCAATAAGAGAGTTAAGAGTGGTAAAATTGGTGGAGATGTGTCTTGGCTGGTGTTCAGATATCAAAAATTTAATTTGATGCAACTGTCCCAGTTAAGAAGCAGGAGAAAATCTGAAGTCAAGGACCTGATCTGTTCAAATGCTGCCTGGTGGGAACTAAAGAACCATATGGGCACACATTGTAGTGTAGATATTTTATTGAGTTGTACACTTGAAACCTATACCTCAATAAATTCAATTTAAAAAGATACTTAAATAGGTAGAATATAGTATAGTGTGGTGACAATATGCTGACAAATAATTATACTTTTTAGAACTTTCAATTAAACTATCAGTAGAGTAACAGTGTCTTTAAATTAATTTTTCAATTGAAATAGATCTTGTAATAATACCCAGACTGACAAAATTTCATTATATCAGTGAAACAATATGATTTGTAAAGAAAGACTTACCAATTTGAAAGTGTAAGCCTATGTATTTATTTGCTAAGGCTGCTGTAACAAAGTACCGCAAATTCAGTGGCTTACACAACAGAAACTTATTGTCACACAGTTCTGGAGCCTAGAA